CGGGCTGGCGAGATGAGGAGGAGGAGATCGTTTTGGAGTAAACAGAAAACCTAGGGGTGGAGGCTGAAGGGATGGCTCTGGGCTAAGTGCTTGCTGCATTAGGACCCAAGTCTGTGAAAGCCGGGTATGGACTGGAGGGGATGATTTGCAGTTAAGAACACACACAGCTTTTCCAGAGAACCCAGCTTCAGTACCCAGCGCTCACACCAGGCAACCCACAACCACCAACTGTAGCTCCAGTTCTAGGGGGTCCAACACTCTCTTCTGGCCTCCACAGGTACTGCACTCATGTGGACAAACACATTGGACTTTGTTAGCTTTCTCTAGTCAGCTTATTGAATTCCAAGTTCAGTGAGAGACTCCATCGCAAAAATAAATAAATAAATAAATAAATAAATAAATAAATAAAAAACAAGTGAAAGGTCAGGTATGGTGGTACACACCTCCAGTCAAAGCTATATAGGGAGACTTTGTCTCAAAACACAATAAAGAAAGAAAGACAGAGACGGTGGGGAGTGATAGAAGACACGAACTCAACCCCTCCCCCAACCCACACACGCTCAAACACCACACAGAGAAGAGAAGAAAAAGAAGAGAGAGAAGGGAAGGTGGGCAGAATAGGAGAAAACCCAGGGAGGTTGATAAGAAATGAGGTGTTGGCTGTTTGGCCATCGTCCCTCTCCCAAGACCCCAACTGTCCCTATCTGCCAGCTAGGCCAACTCACCTCTTCTTCAACAAGCCGCTGAAATCCAGTTCACCCGCGTCTTCTGACTTCCCGTCACCCCTGTAATCATTAAGAGGGTTGTGAACCCCATGAAGATCCATCCAAAAGCGTCCCCACTCCTTGCCCTCTATCTCCACCTCCCAAGGAAAAGTGTCCCTTGATTCTCAGTGCCAATGGGCACCTCTTCCCGGGACCGGAGGCACTCACGAGCGTTTGAAGTTCTCAAGGCTCTGACCAGATGAGTCCTGTCTGGGTGCTGGGAACAGGTGAGGAGGAGGAGTAAGGTAAAGGCCAGGACATCCTGTCCAGACATTCACAAGTCCCAGCCTCTTGGGTACCCTTTCCTCCACCTTCTGGGCCAGTGCACCATCTCTGAAGGCCTAGACAATGCTTTCTCTCCCTTCCTTCCCCCTCTCGTGTGTGTGTGTGTGTGTGTGTGTGTGAAACAGAGTCTCACTATGTAGCCCTGGCTGACCTAGAGCAAAAAACACTGCACCCCCCCCCAGTATTTTGGATCTTGAGACAAGATCTCACTGTGAACCCCAGGCTCATGTGGGGTTGGCATCAATCCTCCTGCCTCAGCCTCGGGCTGGGTGAAAGGCATGTACCAGGCATAACTTCTCTACCCTTTGGAGTTCCACTTCCCTGGGTACCATGTCCCACCCTCCTGGCCAGCTGGTCCTTGCTCCCCAGGCCAGGGGAGTCTCATTCCTTCAGCCCCTCACTTTCAAACCCCACACACTGAGCTGTATGTAAAACCCCAGAGGCTGCAGGACTCCTGCTTTCTCCTAAACCTGCCCCTCGTGCTGAACCCATGCACCCAGACTCTATGAGGCAGGGGGCCCTAATTACCCAAGCCCTCAGCTCACAAACCTGGAAGCTTCCTAAACTTTTTCATGTGTACCCCAAGTTGCTAAACACCTGTAAGTCTAGTACCTCCTTCTACACAAAGCCTGGAGACCTTGTCCCCACCATTACAAAGTCTTGACCCTTTCCTCCAAGAGAGTGGGACCGCACCACCTCCACCCGCCAGTGTCCCCGTCTCTGCCTCCAACATACCCTCCACGTCCACATTGAAAGAGCAGCTGTCGCAGACGTCCTTGGCTTTGACCTCTAGACGGTAATCCCCGCGGTCCCCTAGGACCACTTTCCCGATGTGGAGTTCCACGGTGTACACCTGGGGGGGAACACAGGGTCATGGCGCTTTGACTCACTGTCCCCAAATCTCCACCCTGCCCCAAAGCAGAGCTCTCTGGGACAGGATCTTGACTCCTAAGGCCTCTAAAGAGGTGAGGAATATGTGGCTATGCCCTCTACACTGCTCTAGCCAGGCCTCAGCCACCACTTGAGGCACTGGCTCCCTCCAGGGGGTTCCACCGGGGTCTCACATTGCTGTCAGAGTCATGGGATTCCTTGAAGGTGAATCGGGCTCCGCTCTTGCTGCTCAGCTCCTGCCACTTCCCCTTGAACCACTTGACGGTAGGCTTGCCTGGGAGCTCCTTCCCGTTCACCTTGGCCAGAATCACCGTGTCCGTCCCTGGAGGAAGGAGGCACTGAGGAACCCAGCTCTCCAGAGACCCAGCCCTTCTCTCTCAGACCCAGGGGCTCTGATCCAGGAGTCCCCCCCCCCCAGCTCTCCTCCCTCACATTCGGGTTCTAGGCTGTTCAACTCCAGGGCTCACCAGTCTCCACTGACACAGAGTCTGGCTTTTTCAGGAAAATGCCTGTTGCGGGCTCCTCTGCAGTTGGGGATTGGTCCTCAGGTGGGGCCTCTGCTCAGGAGAAAGGATTAGGGATTAGTGGTTTAGGGGGAAGCAGAGGATCTCTTTGGGAAGAGTTCTGGGATTAATAAGAACCCCTATGATCACTGGGTGGTGGTGGTGCATGCCTTTAATCCCAGAAGCAAGAGGATCTCTGTGAGTCTGAGGCCAGCCTGGTCTACAGAGTGAGTTCCGGGACAGCTACAGCTACAATGATCTCTCTCTCTCTCTCTCTCTCTCTCTCTCTCTCTCTCTCTCTCACACACACACACACACACACACACACACACACACGAACCCCTCTGCTCAGAAGGCAGAGATTATGGTGTGGCTTACATTTATCCAGAAGCATAAGCTTTGCTAGGCTCTGTCAGCCCCTTGGGCCTCAGTTTCCCCATCTGTGGACCAGCAGGTTATATCCAGAATGGTCCTGAAAGGACTTTCGGGTAAAGGACATGTAAATACGAACATAGCTTTTGGGGGCTCAGGGTGCGGTGCCAGCCTGGGTGGGGTGCTGGGAAGCCAGGCAGGACTGTGGCTCTGTCACTGTGTGGAGACAGCTACCGGAAAGAGATCAGGAAAGACTAGGGCCAGTGTGCAGAAGGGCCAGGAGGAGACAGTTGGCAGAGCCCCAGGGGGCACCTCACCTTTGGGGGGCTCTGCAGGATCTGGCTTAGCAGGAGCTTCCTTTGGCACTTCCTTTGGCGCATCCTTGCCTTTGGGGGCCTTTTTGGCTGCTGTAACACAGATGTTGAGACTTCAGCACCCATGGTGCTCTCCTCGCCCTTCCCAGAGTCTAGACCCAGACCTCCTTCCTCAGAACCGGGGTCCAGACCCGGGGTCCAGACCCCCATTCCAGGCATAAGTTGATCCTCACCCTGACTGTGGAATCAGGTTCTGCCTCCCCTCATAGCCTCACCCCAGACTCTGGCCACCAGTCTGACCTTTCAGGTTTGGGGTATAATTAGCCCTTCCCCTGGGATAGAAACTGGACACTGGTGCTGACCACAGCAGTCTCCTATGGTACAGGTCACTGACCCATGGGTCAGTTTCTGCAAGGAGCTGGTGGCGACCTCAACCTGGTTGGGGAAGGTGATGCCAGGGTTTGGGTGCAATGCCCACTTCCACGAAAAGAAAAAGCCCCAGCCACCTTACAGACTGCCTTTGCACCTCAAGGAGTACTCCTAACTGCCCTGGAGAGAGACTGGGGTGCCGGGACAGAGCTGGTGGGTGCCCAGCAGGCAGGAGGCTCTGGATTCCATCCCCATCATAGCAGGAGAAAAGGGTTCCACACACGGGAGAGACCCATATTCCCTGCGACAAGTCCGACTTTCACACCAAAGGGGGTCTCGTCTTTACACAGAAAATTCTCACTCCATGTGCATGAAGCCCCACTGTGTCATAGACGCACCTCATGATCTAGAAAGCACCCAATCTTCGCTCGGTGAACTCGACGCAACTCCCTCGTCTCCAGGTGGGAGAGCACCCTAGCCCTAAACTGAGCCCCAGCAGTGTACAAGCAAGACCCCTTGAGCCTCAAGAAAAGGGGCCCCCCAGCTGGGAATGGGGGTGCATGCCTCCCACCCAGTTCTTGAGAGACTGAGGCAGTAAGAATGGGACTTCTGGCCAGGAGGTGGTGGCACACGCCTTTAATCCCAGCATTCCGGAGGCAGAAGCAGGTGGCTCTCTGAGTTTGAGGCCAGCCTGGTCTACAGAGTGAGTTCCAGGACTGCCAGCGCTACACAGAGAAACCCTATCTTGAAACACCCTCTCCCCCAAAACAGACTGGGACTTCCAAGTCAGCCTGGGCTGCAGAGTGAGTTTGAGACCAGCCTGGAGAACTGGAGGAGAGAGGAGAGGGGAGAAGAGAAAAGAAGGGATGAAAATAAGGAGAGAGGGAGGGAGAGAGAGAGAGAAAACCGAATCCAATTTATAATTAGCTGAGATTTCTACCCAAGATGGGTCTCCCGGTGCCTGAAGAGGAAGGGTGACTGCTACGCAGACACAAGACCCCATCACCCTGCATCAGGGAGGAACCCATCCGCGCGAACCGAGAAGGGGCCTCTCTTCCCCAAGCAGGCAAGGAACCCACACTCTACCTAGATGTAAGAGAAGGCAAAGGACCCCCTCCTCCCACGGAAGAGACATCCCCTGTCGGCAGGCCATTTCCCACCCAACTCCCAGGAAGGTTTCTGGCCAGCCACCTGGTTTAGCCTCAGGCATGTCGGCGACCTCCTCGGGCTCCCAGGACTGGGACCGCAGTGGCTCTAGCCAGGCCCTAGCAGGGACAGGTGGGTTCCTAGGAGGGGCCCTTTATGAAGGCTCAAGATTCCCAGGAGGCAGCCCTGGGCCGCCCCACATTCCTCCCGCATGCTCTAAAGGGCGAGAAATAGCTAGTAGACAGAGAGGGGTGGCCGGATGCCAACGCCCCAGTGGGGATGGGCTAGGGGAACTTGCACACATGAGTCTGTGGGAGGTACAAAGGTGGAGACTGCATGACCTCAGAAGGAGGAGGTCTGGGCCTCCGGAGGCTGGGAGCTCAGGGGCCCAGATCCTTAGGTTCTGGAGAAATAAGGGTGGGGGAGGAGAAGGGAGCAGACAGAGCACAAGATGGGGAGCAGGGACAGAGAGGGCACTTGAGTCCCGGGAGGGGGGGCAAAGAAAGAAAAAAGGAGGTGAAGGAGGAGGGGAATACTGGATCCTGGGAAGGACCGGAGGAGGAGTGTGAGGAGGGGCCAACTAGTCCTGGGGGAGGACCAGAAGAAGGCTAGGGGGTCTCAGGTGCACAGGGCGAGGGAGGGGTAGGTCCTGGAAGCCTTTCTTAGCCATCCCGAGTCAGGAGTTTTCTAGAAACCAGAGCCGCGAGAGAGAGTCCGGTTTCCCCGCGTAGGCAGGACGGGTGCCTGCCGGGGGAAGAAGGTCTTGGTGTCCCTCCCGCCCTGTCCTGGTGCGGGCCCCCTGGGAGTGGCCTGGCCGACTGCCGGTCACCGGCCGGGTGCAGAGAGGCCGGGAAGGCCTTGGAGGGCTGCCCGGGCCGGCTCCTTCCCAGCACCAGAGAGTGGAGGAAGTAAAGACAAGGAGAGAGGCTTAGGGCAGTGCCACAGGTGTGACCGGCCCAGAAGGGTATCAGAGGAAAGGACTGGGTCAGGATCCAGGGGAACCAAGACAAGCTGCCTCCCTTTTTCTCTTCCTGCGCCCCTCCCTCTCCTCCATTGTACAAAATCCCCGAAGCTGGAAACTTGCCCGCCTCTGGGGGCACTAAGCCAACCAGTAGGCAGCCTCCCTTTGACGCCTTTGGTTGCCTGGCAAACTTCCATCTCACTGTCGAAGGAGCAGGCAAGTGGCACAGTGGCCCAGGATCGTGGCATGCCCCATATCCCGGAATTCCAGAGGCTGAACAAAGGGAGAAGGGGATTGGTATGACTTTGAGGTCAGCCTGAACTACAGTGTAAGAACGCTCCTATCTTAAAAAAAAAAAAAAAAAAAAAACCAACGCCAAAAGCCTGGAATGGAGGAGTGGACGGAAAGAAGAGCTGGGAAGCCCAGTGATTTCACCATTCAAGACCTAGCCTGGCCTACCGCCATGGTACCTCCACCTCCGCCTTCTCTCATCTACCCCCTCACTGCAGCTACCCTCAGCCTCAGTACCAGCCAGGTCCTGTGGTGAGGCAGGCCAGAGCCTGATGAAGGGTCCCAGCACAGCTGTAAACTTTATTTAGGATTTTATTTATTATCCATGTATAGTGATGTTGGCTTTTGAAGAAAGAATTCTATTTGGTGCCAGCTTGTCCTTGGCCACATGAACATCTTCCATGATTCTTCTTTCCCGTTCTGGTGACCCAGAGGTGAGTTAAGGTGTGTCCCAGGTTCATCAGGGTTGCAAGGAGGCCCTCTTCCTCCTCTTTCTCAGAGGGACCTAGGTCTGGGTGGCCCAGCCTGCTCAGGCTCAAAGCCTTGGGTTCTGATTCTGCTATGGGGGCCCAATGAGAACCTCACAATTTGAGCCAGGTTGGCCTACAGCTGGCTGTATCCCCCACCTCAAAAGACTGGGCCGGAACAGGCAGCTGAGTGTGGTCATGGCCACAGGGTGAGACAGCAGGCACTGGGAAGGGACTGGTCCCGGCCTCTGCACACAGAACATCTGGCCAGAGGTCTGGACTGTGGGAGAGCTCCCTAGTCTGAAAGCTCACTGTAGAGTGCTTTTCTCTGCAGACAACACCTGCAGGGACTTAATTTGCCTGCCTTGTGGGTGGGGGGTGGCCAGCTTTAGAAACCTGGCTAGTGATGGTGTGGGGTAAGCGGGGTGCGGTGGAACATGTTCAGAACCCTAGCGTGCTGGACACCAAGGCAGGAAGACTGTTATGAGTTTAAAGCCAGCCTGGCCCACACAGATAGACCCTGACTTATGAAAAAGAAAAGAAACAGGCTCGTGATGGTGCCAGGATCTGAGCACTCTGGCAGAGGCAGGAACTCGAGGGAGGAGCTCAAGGCCATCCTCAGCTTTGTGGCAAGTTCAAGGCCAGCCTGAGCTACCTGACACCCAGTCTCAAAAATAACAGGCCGCTGGCCTTGCCACACCCCCCAAACTGGCCAGGGGCTAGAATGATCCTGACACACAACACGGGTGGCCCCTCAAACAAGAGAGTCAATATGTGACCTCAGGGCAGCCAGGAGCCTAGGATGTTGGAGAACTTCCCATATGACAAAGGACCCCAGAAGGCTTCAGTCTGTAAGATTCACCGAATGCCCCACCCCCAACCTCCCCAACAAGTCATCTCAGATCCCAGAGGGTCCCAAGGGATGGCTGAGGCAAGAGGATCACCACAAGCTTGAAGACAGCATGGACTACACAGTAAAACCTTGTCTCAAAAAAAGAAAAGGCCTGGTATGGTGTTGTGCCCCTGTAATCCCAGCACTTAGGAGACTGAGGCAGGAGGATTGTCACAAGTTGGGGGCCACCCTGAGCTAAATAGTGAGACCCTGTTTCAAACAAAGTCATGGATGGACACAGAGAAAATCATAGATGGCACAGGGTTCTCAGAAGGCTCCAGACATAAAGATACAACTAGATCTCAGATCTGACCAGGGCCTCAGGGCAGCACAGAGGGACCCGCACCCACCCACCCAACACGCACACAAATAGGCTTGGGGGCTGTAGGCAGCGCCACCTGCTGGTGCAATGACGTGTGTGATCACAGAGCTCGCAGCAAGTACCATTGTGGATTCCGGAACTGCAAACACCACCAGGAGCCCCTGCAGAGAAACCTGCCATTCTACAAGCAAGTAGAATGACCAGTGGGTCGTGAGACACTCCGCTTAAACACGACCATCCTGGGGAATCCCATATATGGCACGGGGGACGCTGGGGAGGCCCTGGTGAGACCTGAGGACCCTGGCAGCCTACTGCCCCCATACGGGGGTTCCATGGACACTAGGGCCTGGGGGCTAGAAAGGGGTCGTAGCGGGGCGCTCAGGCGCGCCGGGTAGTTGGCAGCAGCGCGCTGTCGAACTGGTAGGTGAGCTTGCGTTTGACCTTGCGGATTTCGCCTGTCTTGGCATAGTTGCGCAGTGCACGCGCCAGCTTCTGGTACGTCATGCGCTTGCGGTTGCCCTTCTGCTGGCCCCAGCGGCGAGCCAGCAGCTCCTTGTGCTTGGAGGAGAACTGGAAGACTCCGGCACCCGGCTCCACCCACCACACGCACTCGCGCATGTCCCCGCGCAGCAGCAGTCCCAGCAGGAACTGGTAGAGGCGCAGTTTCTTGCGGGCACCTGTAGGGTGTTAGGTACCCACGTTACGAGGGGAAGTCCGTTGATGGGACCCCCCCCCCCCGCCCAAGTCTACAGCCCCCTACAATTGAGTCAGGCCTGGTTGATTCGAACCTAGTTATTCTAACTATTCCAGAGACTGAGAAAGTGGATCATAAGTTCAAGACCAGCCTGGGCAACTTAGCTGAGACTGTCTTTTAAAAGTAAAAAGAGGGCTGGGGTATGGCTTGGTGATCGAGCCCCTTGCCTAGAATCCCCAAAGTGAGGAATTAGGGTGTGAGGATGTATAAAATAGCAGGTTTTATATACAGGAAACTGTTGTCCAATAGAGAATAACTTGACAGAGGTACGAGGAGAGGGTAACTGGTTGGGAGTAGGTACTGCCCTCCCTCTTGCTGTTACTGTGGTTTTGTGCACAATGGAAACCAGGGCACAGAGAGGATGGTGCCCTTGGCCAAGGTCATATAGCCAACAAGTAGCAAGGATCTGGGAACTTCCTTGGGAGCCGTTAGTACATACTTAGGGAACCTTGGTTCCTTCAGGCTCTCCCCTGACCCACAGTCAGCGTCCCCACCAATTTACTACCCCACATACCTGCCTCAGTGCCAGCCAAGAGGGCCTCATCTGACTCGCTGTCTGAGACCTCCAGGGCAGGGCTGTCCAGCAGAATGTCTTCTTCCTCTGACAGCACAGGGCTGGGGTACGGGGTAGCCAAGGGGCCCAGAGTCTGTGGGAGACCACGGTCACCTCTACATCACTCCCTCATTCTCCCCCACCCCACACCTCTGCAGTCCTTACTATCTTCCTGTACAGTGTGGACACTGGCCTTGGTTATCTCAATACACAGAGAAGTTAAGGCATTTGCCCAAAACTACACAGTCAGAAAATGACATGGGTCCAGGAACTACCTCGGAAGGGTGTCCTTGTATCCCCCACCCAGGTACAGTCCAGAAGTTCATTTCAGAGAGTTGCACAAGAAATACGAGGTGGGAAGTCTTCCTCCAAGCAATCCTGCCCCTCACCTGGCTGACAAAGTCCTCTGAGGGGTACACCTGGAGGCCAGGCCCTGGAGCCTCCAAGCTCGAGGCTGGGTCAAGGGTCCCCACAGGACCGTAGGCAGAGGGGCCAAGACTATGACCGTAACAGAGCTGCACAGCCTGGGAGTGAGTAAAGGCAGTCGTAGCGGGGTCGAAGACTTCATAGGGGGTGATGGCGGAGGCAGGTGGGGCCTCTGTCCAGCCCCATGTGGAGTCTGAAAGAAGGGTCAGAGTCAGTAATCGAAGGTGGGCAGAAGACTGGCACCCTCAAGATCCCATACAGAGGGGCCTTTGTAAGCTGTGCAAATCTCTGACCCCAGAATTTGCATGGGGGAGCAGATGGACTGGGATGGGTAGGGAGGTGGCTTGGGGAGGGGCTGCCATGATGAGGGAGCACTCCTGTGGACCTCACTCCCTCCCCCACATGAATGGAGCCCAGGGTGCTAGGAAGCTGGGTCACTTACCAGGACCCCCATCTGAATCTGGGTAACTGAAAGGCTTGCAGCTGTCCAGGTCATAGAAGACACCTTCTGGGTACTGCTGGGGTGAAGACAGAGTCATCCCAGATCTTAGAGACTCCCCACTCCCCAGCCTTTGGGACACTGACAGTTGAGAGGAGGGAGAGGAAGGACAGAAACAAACAGAGACAGACACCGAATCCCTGAAGAAGGGACACCCAGAAGCTAGTGTCTGCCATGGCTGTGACCCTCAAGGAACCCTAGTAGTTCCCAGTGTACAACTGGTACCCAGGAACTTGCTCTGTAGCCCAGGCTGGCCCAGAACTTGAAGCGGTGTTCACCCTGGGGTGACAGGCATGCACACCTTCTCTAGCCCAGGACACCAGTTCATCTCAAGAAGCGTGTTGTTTCAGCCACAGCCACTGGAAGAGCAGTGCAAATGAACTCTGAAGTTCATGTAGATAACTCCCGCACACCCTCCTGCTCCCGCAAGCAGATGGAACAGCCCGAGGCTGTGGGGTTTACTGGTGGGTGGCCAACCATGCAGCAAAAAGGACAGGGACCTAACACGCTGTGCGTGGGAAGAGGGCAGGTGCCCAAAAGACCTACGCACGAATCATTTACAACTTCAAATGAATCAGTGTAACATACTGGATGAGATCACGTAGGGATACCAGTGAATGTTCTAGAATGATGGGATTTTTCTAATCTAGGTCTGTTAATGGCTACAACAGTGTACACAATGAGGACACTCCCTGATGCACACACGATACATCAGTTTTAAACAACCAACAGCAGGTGTCTTACAGGTATAATCCTGAGCACTCTGAAGGCTGAGGCAGGAGGATCATGAGTTTGAAAACAGTTAGAGCTACGTTGAGAGATCCTGTCTCAATTAAAACAAAACAAACAAAAAAGTCCAACAAAACTCAAAGAAGTGGGGACTTCTTGCCACCACAGAAAAGGTCTCATTGTTTTGTTGAGAGTCAAGTGTTGAGGAAAATAGTTGGTGTCCTCAAGCCTACAGTTAAAAGATGTAAGATCCATAACCCCAACACAGGACTGTACACAGAGAACATGGACTAGATAGGTACACAAGGTCAACGAAGTAGCCTCAAGTCACAGATGAGGTGGGGACGAGGGTCTGGGGAGACAGAGACTGGAAACTGAGGCAGAAGTAGATCTTAGTGAGGTCTGCCCTGCAAGCCACACAGGCACCCCCCACCCTCCCCGGGGCTCAGACTCACCAAACAGCTCAAGTGTGGGCCGTCCAGCCTGGTTGGGGAGAGACACAGGGGCATGTCAGGGCTGCCCTCAGCCACCTGAGCCTCAAAGTGGTTGTGGGGCCCACAGGGGAGTGGTGGCAGCTGTGATCACCACAGCTCTGCAGTGTGCTGGCTGTCCTTTGTGCGCCCAGCCTTCCCACAGTCACCCCCACAGCCCCATTAGGACAGGAAGTAGGGGGCGGGTGCCAGGCAAATGTCCCCCACTACCCTTGGGATTTGCATGCACACTGTGGGGGGAGACAAGGAAAGTAAGAGGGAGAAAGTCCCCAGCTGCCTGGGGACAGGGTGGCCAGAGAGCTTGGTTTGAGTGTCTTCGCAAGTCCTGCTGAGACCAGAGGAAGCAACGCACTGAAGAGCAGGGCTAGAAACAGACTGAGGGAGAGAGCAAAGGGATGGCCGCCAGGGTAGCGCCAGGAGCGGACGGAACAGTTAGACAGGAGGAAATAGAAACAGACAAAACTCAAGGGGCAGAGAGCACCAGAAATGAAGCAAGCGATACAGAGGACAGGTGGCACACCTGGGAAGACCGGGGCAGGATGGGGGTGAGAGTCTCCAGAACATGCCATCTTTGGAAACCTGTCTAGGAAGACAGAGTTGATGGGAGAACTGTCCTCTGTAGACGGTGAGGCCACCCCTTACCACCTGCCTTGGGGGGGGGGCACAGAAGCTGAGGGTGCTGATGGGGTGGGGGTCCCAAGTACAGGTTTGGGGATTACCCACTTACTGTGCAGCCTCCAGAGCAAGCATGGTGGTTCAGGGCAGGCTGGGCTGGCTCTGGCCACTACTCCTATATATACTTTGGCCCAGCCCCCCCCCAGGGGCGGGCCATGGGGGCCCTCCTCAAAAATCCCCTCGGGGAGGGGTCTGGATTGCACAACCCTCTGGTCACGTGGCAGGGAGGGTGGGCCTAGGAGCCATCTGGATTTGGGGTTCCCCACCATTGGGGATGGAGAGCTGACACAAGGGTGGAGAGAGAAGTTGCTGAGAAAGGGCAAAGACATGAGGGGCTGCAGGCCCTGGGAACAGGATGCCACAGGAAGGAGCCAAGGGTGACCAGGGCAAGATGACACGGAGCAGTGAGGCCCAGGAACAGCTGTGAGAACAGGGGATCTCCCAACAGCCGCGGGGAAGCCCAGGCAGATCGACCACCAGGACCCCATGGTGGAAGTACCAGCGTCAGAGAGGGTCCCCTTGCTGCCCTGAGGTGTGGACGTCTATGTGCCACAAGCTACCCCTGGCCTGAAGGAAACAGGGCAGCACTTGGTGCCAGCTGGGCGACCACCAGCCCCATGGGGAGGAGCAAAGCAGAGCGTTGGGATCTTACTCGGGTTTTCAGAAGGGAAACAGAGATGCCAGCCCTGTGTGGGCACAGGTAGAGGTACCGAGGCCCCAGGGAATTGTACTGCACCTGAACCATGAAACCCAACCTGTTCCCCGAGACCACAACACACAGCCAGTAGCAAAAAGTCTGAACTTTATTCTCTGTCCCTTATCAGGTCACCAGGCCTCGGGGCCCGGAGGTCCAAAACGCTGCAGCAGCCGCTCCTGGTCCTCCAGGTCCTTGCGTACTTTCTTGCGCATGTAGAAGATGGGACAGTCGCGGCTGTAAAGGGTGGTGGTCAGGGGCCATTCCCAGGACTTTGGCCCCTACCTGCTGCCCACCCAGGGGAGGGGGCTGTTTGCTTAGCGGGCACAGGGAAGCCGATAACAGCAGTGCCCCGAGAGGTAGCCAGCCGTATATCAGCTGTCACCTGGCGTGGGAACGCGCCCCACCCGCCCGTTCCCTGGGGAAAGCCCAGCCCCACCCTTGGGGAGGCTGTGCGGGCGCCTAGCCCAGGCAGACCCTGCCCACTCTTCAGTGAGGTCTCCCCGCTGGGTCAGGAGTCTGGTAGCAAGTGGGGGAGGGTGCACCTGGTACAGATCACATCCTCATGCAAGCTGCCCTGGCAACGCTGGCACTGCGTCCAGAGGCGTGAGAAGCGCTCCTCCAGGGCATTCAGGTGTGACACCTAAGGACACAGCGGGTTGAGCAGGGCTGTGGGGGTCAGGCTTGCCCCAGCTCCAGCCCCTACCTCACTCACCTCCTTCTGGTAGAGCTCTGACTCCCGTGGCTGACAGAACGCACACACAGCTCCTGGGGGAGGGGCGGGTATCGGCACAGGGTGCTGGGCCTGAGCCAGGCCCTAGCCTCCATCCCTGCATCTCTGCTCTTCTCCACCCGCTGCCCATCCCGGCTTCTGAAAGTCCCCAGGGCTAGAGAACAAGGGCCTGAGTGTGTGGGGAAAACTCCCCTGGGGAAACCCGGAGCGGGCGAGGACCCTTCGCGGGAGCACAGGCAGAATGGATCCTGTGGCAGAGCCCCACCAGTGGGTGTAGGAGCGCTGTGTCCTGGGTCTCACCTTGATGGTTGATCACGGAGCGGCAGCCAATGCAACAGTTGCGACGCTTGGTAAAGGCCAGGAGGCCACCAACCTTGCTGGTGAGCACAGTTTTGCAGCGTGTGTGGTCACCACCTACAGGAGAGGAGCTGACAGTCTTGCCCCTGCCCCTTTCTTGCCCACACTCCCTCCTCAGGGTCACACTTACGGAGCAGCACGGATTCTGCACGGCCCTCGCCCAGAATGGGCTCAAAGATGCGCAGCAGCGGCTTGGCCAGCTGTTGTTCCAGGTAGTACTGGGTGTCGATGGGCAGGCTGTGCTCCAGCACAAACAGGGGGTCCTGTGGACGGGCCGCGGTTACCGGGGGGCCAGGGGGGAGCCGTGGACAATACCCTTGGGGTGTGACGAAGGGGTGCACCCAGGGGCAGGAAGGGCCATGGAGGGGGCACAGGGGTCAGAAGTCACAGGCTGAGAACCAGGTCACTGTTCACTGGGTGGCTTGAGAAGATAAAACAAATGGAGGTACAGGCACCCAGGGCGGGGAGGGGCGGAGATGGCACAGCAGCCAACTCTGTACAAGGAGGCACTAAGGTCAGGCCCAGGGGCTAGACCGCCCAGAGGAAAGCAGAAGTGAGATTCTGGGAGGGGCACAGCCCAGGTGGGCCTGACCTCCGACTTCATGTAGGCAGCCACGCCTTTGGCAGCACCAATGATCACATAGGGGACTCGATCTCCCAAGCTGGGTGCGCTGCCGGGGTCACGCTTCCTCATCCTGCGGACAGGGGAGGTGGGTGAGGTTTGGGGAGGGCTGAATGGCCCCAGCTGCAGGAGGCGGTGTGACTGCCCCACCTCTCAGCCAGTTCCACGTGGGCCTGTTTGCCTGCGTAGTCGGCTGCTGCACGGGTCAGCTCCTTGGTGATGACCAGCTGGGAGATGTCTATGCGGTTGCACAGCAGGTCCGAGATGACATCTTTGGCATGGGCCACGGCACCATCAGGGTCCCTGAGATGATGGACAGAGTCACCAGGGGCTGCTGACGATGGGCTGCAGCTTTCATCACTGAGGGCGGGCACTATGGGCTGAGTCGGGGTGTGCAGTAGTGCAGAAGCAGGAGGCCAGAGGCCATCACCTAAGGCAGCCAGTCTAATTCACCACTGCCTCACTGTCACAGCAACACCCATGGGTCTGAGGGAGGCTGGCTTCTAGGTCTAGGAGGGACACACACACACACCGGTCCACGAGGATTCGGCGTAGCGAGGATGTAACAAGGTTGGCCACCAGGGGACAGTTGTCCCTGCGCACAGCCTCCAGGCCCTTGCAATCCATTCTGTCATGGGTATCAGGCTGAGAGGAGAAGAGCAGGCCAGCATAGCGCTTCTTGCTGATGAGCAGGTATGGAAAATAAACCTAGAAGGAACCCAAGGGTGGTGACCCTGTGCACTATCCCCCACCTCCAATCCCAAGACCCATCAGAAGCAGGACAGGCAAGGAAGGCCCTTGCCCTTGGAGGCCTGATACCCTCCAGCACCCTAGGAACCCCACTTGACATCATAGGCCTAGAGCTGGGCCCTAAATCATGAAGTCCAGGTAGGAGACACAGTGAAATCTCAAAGCCACGAGAGGAGACAGCCCAGTGAGTCTAGAGCCAAGCACTGGGGCCGCCAGGGGTGCATGTTTGAGCAGCAGGAAGAAGCCGGTGAGCACTGCAGGACCCATGCACACCACAGGTTTGTGCAAGGGAGGCCTCAGTCTCAGAACCCAGGACACTGGGCTTCTGCGTCCTAAGAAGCTCATGGAGCTGGGAGCAGGCCCAGAGCGCTTCAAGTCCCCCACACCTGCAGCGTCAGCTCTGTAGCACACAGTGAAAAAAGGCTACCACTAACTGCAGAGACCCCGCTGTCTGCACTGAGCTGAGGCAGGGCACACACGCACCTTCTCAAACTCCAGCTGGATAGGCGATGGGAAATGACTTGATACCCAGCCGGCAGCCTCCCGACCCAGAGACATCGCCTCAGCCACAGAGGAGACACCAAATCGGCACATCACAGAGTCAGTGTCGCCGTAGACCACCTGCCGGGGTACATGTGAGAGGCATGTTCCTGTCATGGTAGGCAGTCCAAGGACCCTGGGGAGCAGCCGGCTGCGCCCAGACCCTGACCTTGGCATCAGCGTTGTAGCCATTTTCTACAGTGTACTTGGACTCCACCAGTTGCTTGGTTTTCTCAATCATCTGCCGCCCGAATCCAGTGACACTCTGTTAGGAGCAGAACCAGAAAGAGTGAAGACCCAGCTCGGTCCGGACACACCTCTGCCACTTCTGAGCGTCACGGACCATGTGTCCAAGTCCAGGCTGTTTCTCCAAAGTATGTGGACAATACTCAGAGGACAAGGAGCCATCCCCACTGCTGGTCTGGGAATGGAGCAGGTCTCATGTAGAGTAAGCAGAGGCTCTGGGCCATGCCCAGCTCCTCACTGGAGCATTTTGGGCAGGGGCTCTCCCACCAAATTCAAGCCCACAGCACCATATCCTGATGTGTCTCTTCACAAACGAGGATGAGGCTGGTGGGTACTGGCGTGTGGACAGAATGCTCCGACTGTCTGGGTTCCACGTGGTCATGGGGACATCTCAGAAGTCCACAGCTGACTTGTCTTGTCCACCTGCTCCATGCTCCTTTTTCCTTATTTTGTTCTGGATGGCTCAGTAATTTGTTATCCCACCATAAGAGGCCAGGAGAGAAGACCTAAGGTCCCAGTGCCCACCTAGAACAGCCACACTGGAGTGAGAACGGCAAGCAGACAGGGGGTGACTCCAGCAGAGGCAGGTCTGGCCAAAGCGCAGCTCCTGGGAGACACCATCCTTCCAGGCAATCAGCTTCCCTGAGCCCTGGAGCCACACCAGAGGTCTATGCTCACAAGGGGAGTTAACAGGGACTCTGGTTTGAACCTGGGATCAGGGAGCTGGAGCTGGAGTAAACAGCAGCTTCTGTCAGTCACAGCCTCTGTGACCTCTGAACCCATCCTGTGAAAATCCTGTCACCTGCTCTGGACATTCCCTACCTAAATATTCCTGAGATGTCACTGCTCACTGCTGAGAGAGCAAAGTACTGGGCCTGTGACCCGACTGAGTAGCAGCACTGCAGGCCTACACCAGGGTCAGTCAGACCACAGGCCTACACCAGGGTCAGTCAGACCACAGGCCTACACCAGGGTCAGTCAGACCACAGGCCTACACCAGGGTCAGTCAGACCACAGGCCTACAGCAGGGTCAGTCAGACCACAGGCCTACAGCAGGGTCACTCAGACCACGCACGGCCACACCGCAGGCCTACAGCAGGGTCAGTCAGACCACACACGGCAGCACCGCGGGCCTAC